AGTCTTGTGCGAAGTATCTTAGATTATTGCAGTGTAGTGTGGAGACCACATTATGCGGTACATTCCCTTCGATTAGAACGCATTCAGAAGAGGTTCTTATGGCATTTGTTACGCAGGGAGAACAAGATAGACAAAAAATCTTCTTACTTGAACAAACTGTCACATTTCGGGATGGTCTCTTTATCTGATCGCAGAGAACTCTCCGATTGTATCTTTATGTATAAGATTTTAAACAATGGTGTAGACTGTCCACAGCTCTTGAGCAAGGTAAATTATAGAGTTCCTTTTTGTTACCCTCGTAAACAGATAACCCCTTTATACCCACCGCGTCGTAGAACAGTGCTTGGTGCAAACTCACCCATACCACGTCTGAGTCACGCCCTGAATAAATACTCTGATTCCACAGATGTTCACTTGGACTCGCTTGGTCGGTTCCGTTCCAGCGTGCATAAATGCATATTATCCAATCAACACAGATAGTGGATTATGTACCTATATGGTTTAGTATTTTGTGTTAGAACTAGATTTAAGGATAGTAATTAAGAACTTTTTTTTTATATACACATATTTGCACCAGTAAATGTTGTGGTTACCTGTAATTGTTTGTTACACATAGGCTCATTCCTCTTTGCTTGCTTGTATTATGCTTACTGTAGTTGTGTAATCAAATGTTGGTAACTCTTAATAAATAAATAAATAGTAAACGGGACTCCTAACCAACCCAACCGACTTGGGAAGATGTTATTAACCAAAGTATTATTTTGGAAATATACATAGCATAGACGAGCATGCATGAAAAGATTGATGACTGTTGATGAAGCGAAAGAGGTATTAGGAATCGTAGTAATAGGCGTTCCCTAGTCTCTGCCTACCCCCATGAAAGACAGGCGTGAAGTCATATATGTATGTATGTATGTAAATAGTACTTTTATTTAGAGGTATAAAACATTAAATTTAATATTATTATCTCAATCTTTGCTTAGTCCTTGTCTTTTGTAGTAACATTAGATATTGTAAAATAAAGTCTCCCGCAGCGTCTCTCTGTCTGTATACTCGCGATAGACTCGAAAAGTACTGAACTGATTTAAATACGGTTTTCAAAAACATAGGGAGTGCACCTTGAGAACGACTTTAGTGTATAATAAGTTTAGATTTTGTGCAAACTGATGGTACTACAACAATATTAGTTCAATACGTGGGAAGAAGTAAAAGTAGGTTACCATCTGAGAAAACACATAGCATTACAGCTAGCAGAATAAAGTATTTTTATAAAATCCTTTATTAAATATTCCAGCCGCCCAACTTCAGTTTCATGCTTAACAGCTGCGCTGGCAAAACGCCCAATGTTAAATTTTATAGAGAAATACTTCCTGCGTAACATTATAATGTAACGAAAGACCTGTTGTGTCCGGTAGGGGTAAGCAGAATGATTAAAGAGGTGTTTACTAAAACTAACTTCTCATTAATCTCCGCCTACTAGAAAGGTCTAATAAGTCATTAGTAGGTATGTTCGAAAGATAGAAAGGTATGAGCGAAATATCATCCAATGAGTTCACCCGCCCGGGTGAGGCGAGAGGAACTCAGTCTTTTACTGGCTAAAATCCACTCCGTTCCTACTCCTGCACTTCGAGCCGGAACCCGGGAATCCGATAAGTCCTACGCGGCTCCGTATCGGCACCAGCCCTATTGGTACCCATCTGTGGTGGTCTGATAGCTCTATGAGCCGCGCGCGGAACGCGACGCCCCGTACGCTCGGGTCTGGTTCTGGTCAAGCGGCGAGTCACCCGTGCTCCGGTGTGGCCGGAGATCGACTCGCGATCCTCGATCCCTAGTGTCTCTCGGGACGGCTGGGGCGGACCACATTACGTTTTCCTATACGCTAACTTCGTGGCCCCAAAAAAAGCTGACACTCCTCCAAACAAAAGTTATTAGTTTTGCGAGATTAAATTTGAAAATGTATTGTTAGGAACAACGTGAATTTTGATCAAAATGATTTATTAATAGCACTTTGAACTTGACCTCTTCGAGTTTGTGAAGGTATTTTGTTTTGTGAACCCTTTTAAGGTAAATTTTATATCCAGATGAGACGGGAGCGTGTTCGGGCTGAGGTGATTTGTGTTGCATGATTTTATAAAATGTGTTTAAAAGAATGTTTTAAAAAAAATGTACATTGTAGATGTACCTACGTTGGTTTGTTACTCATTCAAGGAAAATCTACTGAACGGATCAGTATGAAATTTGATGCAGAGACAGATTACAGCCTGGAAATAACACATGGGGTAACTTTTATCCCGGTAACGTGGGTGGAATCATTGGCTAGACCTTCTTTACATGTGATATATGTGAGCACCATGTTAGACTATAAGATTATTTTTGTTTTGTTTTTTTTTTATTTTAGTAAGTTTTATAATTAGTATAATATGTCAAGCGTGTCTTTGCATTGTTCTCACATATACGTACAGTATTGGAATATGTATCAGAGACATTGTAGAACACACTTTTTTTTAATAAAGTAACGAATGGAGTTTCTTCCTCGTTCTTCTCCATTCCAATCTACATTTTGGAATAAGCGTCTAGCTTTACTGATGGACTGACTGAAAGACTATTATTTATTTCCTATTTGTTGTATTTGTTGACGTTTCAAAAGTACAAAATTATGGTTTAATTTAAATAAATGCTTTGACTTTGACTTTGATGTTCTGTGGATAGCAGATGACGAATAGCGGAGTGATACCACGGCCTCACAGAAAGCTGACGTAGTATTTCGTCGTGTAAGTGACGATAATGGAGGCCCAATAACCCCCCCCCCCCAACCCAATCTTCCCTATCCCTGAATCCCCAACAATCCTCAAATTCCTAATCCCCGAAAGTCCGGTAACGCACTTGTAACGCCTCTGATGATCCGTATGCTCGGTACCGGCTTATATCATAAAAAAATATTTGGTGACAATTATTACAAGACACATTTCAGTGTTTCCTTTTAAATAACGTAGTCATTTCAATATCAATTCAAAAAGTGGTTTCCAATGAAAATTGCGTAAATACAATTTCGTGGTAAATTAAATTCACAGTACACCGACGATGATGCATTGACCTGACCTAATTAAAGCATAAATCATTCTATATTAATATCATAAATCAACGCAAAATGTTGGGATACAAACTGTTTCATTAAGGCATTAAAAATGCTAGCTTCTAGCTTGAGGCCTATATTTTCATAATGAAGATATTTTCAAGATATTTTTATAATGGTTCGAAGTATGGCCTATATCTCGCCTGCTGGTAAGCGATGATGCGGCCTATGGAGCACGCCTGCCTATTATAAGCAACCTATTCACTCGTGCTTTGAAGACATTCAGGTTTTGCCCTTCATGAAACACCATGGCAAAGAATGTTACTCCTTAGCTGTTCGCACAAGGAAACGAGAGAGGCTTTGTGAGTTTCTTGCTCGTTCTTCTCCATTCGAATCTACATATAAGAATAAGTTGC